TTAATCAAACAATAGACTAATCAAACAACCGCAAGACATGATCAATATGATGTGACCTTAAAAATAAAAATATATTTTTCTACTGTTAGATGTTTACACAATGTTTGATTAGCTCAAATAGGTATCGAAGTATTGAGAAAGGATCCGGCAATGATTCTAGTTAACATTGTATCGAAATACTTTGTTACTGAAATATAATTGAGCATCTGAGGTAGGTTGTGTTGGTTGATATTTCTTTAATTATACAGATGTGACGGATAGATACATCAATGCGCGTATAAAATAACCGCGGACAGGGGCAATAAAATTAAAATATAGACACGATAAATTAAAACCGATAGTATTATGTACGGCCTCCTTTTCCGCGCTATGAATTTTATAACGTTTATCACACCAATAAAACTTATTTGTTTATCTTTATTTCCGTGAACTCACTTCAACACAAGCTTAAGAAATGTTAAATATATATGCGTTTATTCGGTCGTAATGAACGGTTCGAATCGGCAGAAGCTTGAAGCTCCTTAACTTAAACATGTGATTTTAATAACGTCGATAATAATTGCAGGCAGCAATTGTAACGTTATCGGATCAAATTTGCGTTTATAAGTCGATACCACGATCAAGCGACGCCTATAATCAAGCTGTTGTCGATTTTATTTTCTTTCGTACACATTCAGTGTAAATATTCAAATTCGGAAGCTGATAACCGCAATCAAACTCGGGGGATACGTTTCAATTAAATTTTATTCCTCAATTCTGTGGCCGTCATAAACTTTAAAGTTTGACGAGTAAAGCCCATTGAGGAACTCCGAATTGATATTAATTCAAATAACTCGGGTTAAAAAGTCAGGGTTTTATGCGTGCCGTAAAAGTTTATTGTAGGGCTTTGTGGCCAGCCGGACGCGCCGATAGGCCTTCGGTATCGATGACGGAACCTCCGCCGCCGCGCCTCGGGTGCGCGCTGCCTTTGTGCTCATCCCGCGCCTTCTACCGGCCATAGAACCGATGTCTTAACACTACGCGTGCTCACAAACTCTACTGCCCACCATCTGGTGGTCGTTAGACCCGTATACAATACCATCATTTTATTTATGAAATAGCTACTGCGCCCCGTAAAGCGAAACTTTTTTTGTTAGAAATCAATTTAGAAGCTTTTCGATTTCAACATGTATGTATCTACGGACACACGGCTCTTGTGTTTCCTTTTTAAATCAACTTTGTCATGTTAAAATCAATGTAAAACTATAGCCTTGTATTTGATATTTTGCCTGTAACTAGATTAATTAGAAAAAATAAGAATATTTTAAAATCAAACNCGCCCCGTAAAGCGAAACTTTTTTTGTTAGAAATCAATTTAGAAGCTTTTCGATTTCAACATGTATGTATCTACGGACACACGGCTCTTGTGTTTCCTTTTTAAATCAACTTTGTCATGTTAAAATCAATGTAAAACTATAGCCTTGTATTTGATATTTTGCCTGTAACTAGATTAATTAGAAAAAATAAGAATATTTTAAAATCAAACAGTAAGTCGTCATTTTTTTTTTCGTTTTTTCTAACAACAAAATCGCCAACAGTCGCCAATTAAGTACAATTTATAGCAAGATACCAATAGAAAGTTGGTACGAGGCTCGTTCACGGATTCGTGACATTTAAAGAAATACGGCCCTATGGAAGGGACCAAATACTAATGGACACTGGAGCTAATCTATTAAGTACTACATAATATTCTGTAATAACGGCTTTTAGTTAAGTTCAGAATAGATTAAGGCACTTCAAGAAGATTTTAATACTATGAGTTAGATTATAACACTAGGTTTATTCTACGGTTGCCCTTCTGTTAAATTCGGAATTAATTATAAAATTGCATTTGAAGTTGAAATTCGCCCTATAAGTATTTTGTTGTCTACGTTTTAGAATATCTCGTTATAGCGCAGTGAAATATTTAATTGATAACAAGTTCATTCTGTGTATGTAATTACAGTAGGTCCGTGGGGCAATCTAAATTATAAAAAAGTGCATATTTCAACAGATAAAATGGTCTTTCATTGATTATGTTATCTAAATACTGAAATGTTTTATCTCGACGGAAAAAAACTCGAAATTTTTTATATCTATACACTATCTAAAAATAATTTTAACTAAAAGTTTTTTCCCTGGATAAAGAAATGTAAATTTCAGTTCATTATTTTATAATTTATTAGACGGTAGTTTAAATAAAAAATAAATATTTTGACAAAAAAACATTACGCGTTCTTGACCATAAAAACAAATAATTTATTCAAAAATCAGTGATTTTATATGAAAATATCCATTGCGAGATTACGATATAAATAGTTTATACATATGTATATATTAAAGTTAAAAACCTTAGAAAACAACATGTTTTATCTGAACGGGCTCGGTAGTTATTGCGCGCTCGACAAAATTAATAATGAGGTACATGCGGATGTGTGTACCTCTGCACAACTAAATAAAAGACAAAACATTTCAGTTATTTTGGGTCCATATGCCTACGAATATCACTAACTACCCATCGCTAACCAGTATTTGCTAGTGGCAGGGTGTATTGTGAGAATTTCATGAGGTGTTCCACCACCCCGCCGCGAAGTAATCATGAACCTCACATATTTAGGTGGCTTACCTAACGTAAGGTAAAAAAAATCATTTACCTATATCTAGAAAAAAACCCTCTATTTTAGACAATGACTTTTAGGTATGTGTTATATAAAATACCTATAAATGTCAATTCAATCCTGAAATTTTTGAGCAAGTGCGCATTACAATATATTTGTATGCCTTTGATTATGAATATAACACGCATACGTATCTCAAAACGAAGATATCATACCAGGGCAAGCGCGCGTCAAACAATGTACAATGTAAGTTCTATTACATACAGTAAGCTGTGTAGGTCACAATAAAAAGTGAAGAATTAATAAATAGATTGATTTTCATATTCATAAGTCATCTAAAAAATTACACGAAAATGATGTTTGACCGATTCGGGAGATTTCCATGACATTAAATTATCAGAATTTTCATGGATTTTTTCCCCCGAAAATTGAAATTTAACAGCGGCGTTCGAAACAGTTTGCGTTTTTCAAAATCTAAATATTTCTTATTCAAGTTGGCCTTTACATGCACTTTTAAATCGGCTCAATCCCTTTCGGAGTAAATGACTTAACCACGGTTGACTTTCGTGAAAGCTCCAATATATTTAATGTAGACCATGAACCTAATGGTACCTGTCCGTCTGCGACCACGGTCATGTGCCCTGGGTAACTACGGTAAGCAGAATATTAATGTGGCAGTATTAATTTACGTTTATAAAATCTGACCACCATTTTATTGTGGTTTCCTAGACATACCTATAGGTATGTGAATATTATCGAACCAATATGTGTGTAAATATAAGTGATATAGGCAGAAGTTAGAGTAAGAAACCAAAGCAGGAATTACACGATACTTATCAAACTATTATTTGACAAATAACGTGCTGGTAATTATATCAAAAGATTTTATAGTGAAACCGAAACATATTTCATTACAATGCCGAGCACTCTCTGTTTATTGTTGACTCTGCGAGACTATATGTACATTATAATATTGCTACAGATCGCTCTTGTTCCAACGAAGTTTGAGGAGAACCCTCAACGGTAGGCAGCGGCTTGGACATAACCACGAGGTCTACAAGCGTTAATGACCACTGAAAAGCAGATGGGCCGCATTTTCGTCAGCCAATAAATGTATTTTTTTATTGCTTAGATGGGTGGACGAGCTCACAGCCCACCTGGTGTTAAGTGGTTACTAGAGCCCATAGACATATACAACGTAAATGCGCCACCCACCTTGAGATATAAGTTCTAAGGTCTCAAATATAGTTACAACGGCTACCCCACTCTTCAAACCGAAACGCGTTACTGCTTCACGGCAGAAATAGGCAGGGTGGTGGTACCTACACGTGCGGACTCACAAAAGGTTCTACTACCAGTATAAAGAATATGCAAAGCAAAAATTTAAAATGCAATTACTAAATTGAATTAATTATTTTATTCAGTTTTCTCAAGGCGCACGACGTAATTAATACAACCTTTACTTCAGGTTCGCTTCAGTTTACTTCGCCTTAATGATTTTAATTTTACTATTTCTGACGTTACAAATACCTACTTAGTACCTATTGTTTGTAGTCACGGACAACGGACCATCATTTGTGAACACGAAAACCGAATAAAAATAAGTTTTATTAAATTGTATAAGTTCTTCGAATGTAAGTTTTAGCTCTATCGTGTTTCTAATAAGTAACTCTACTGGCTGTCTTTTTTTTCGTATCGATTGTTATACAGCCTTTGTAGGATAGAACAATAATACCTACAATATGTAGTTCCCGTTTTGTGATTTGGCTACAAAACCCTAAAAGTCATAATAATAGCGTTGATTAAATAAGATAATTCATTTTCTCGAACAACGGTATAGTTTTAGCCTTAATTTACTCCTCAAGGCTTGGAATTTTGATATGTCGTTTGAAGCAGGATAAATTGCACTCTATCATGAACAAGCACGGAGAAAACTTCTAAGCAACCTCAACTGATGTGATGCACTCTACAGATTCCAAATTGTGAACGCTACCAGCCACCCCGAGACGTGAAATCAAAATGACCCACCACAGAAGGCGAGGTTTGTCATATCCCACTTCGATAATGATGTCGGTACAATCTGTTTGAAATAGCTTAGCACGTACTCTTAAAAAGACATTAATAATTATTAAAGAACATAAAATACCTATTTAGTTAGTTACCTAATTATATTTTGAAGTTTCTGTCTCAATAACAAAAACCCATGCGAATTGTTCATAAATAAGAGCGTACCGGAGCCTCCTTATATAAAAGGCCAGAATTAATTAATAATAATAGTTGACTACATATAACAAAAACGTATGCCTCGGGTTAGATGCGACGTACCACAGAAAAGCGAAAAAATTTAATAAATAAGAAAAATACCTTTCTTCTTCAACTACTTTGTCCTCAATTTCGACTGTTCCCACTGTTCACATTAACTGAAAAAATATCTTCAAGCCACCAAGTTCACATCACAACCTACAGGGAACTTATATACGAGAATTCCATTGCAAACACCAATAAAAGAAAACGGAAAAATGTTTTTTTTTTACTATTAATCTAAACAAATCTATTTAATTTGTCGCACTTCACAAATCAACGGTGGCGTGCCAACTCCGTGAGGAACTACTGCAAACTCCGCCACACTACACTTCATTAGCGCTTAAACAAAATAACACATCCACTGTGCTTTGACTGGATCACGCAATTTTCATCCATAATACCAAAACAGAAAACTCAATTCACTACGAAAAAATATCAACGAAATCATCATCATTACAAATTATAATATGTCTTATGTGTTAGAACATAGAGCCTTTTATGGTTTAAGATTGTTTTTGATGGACGTGTAGAGGCAAACGGAACAAAGCTCCGCCTCTAATGTATTGACAAACAAACCGATTGGTGGCATAGTTCGGACGCAGTCGGGACAATCCTGCGCAACTAGAAGGCGGCTGCAGATTAAGACCCATGTCTTTTCTATTATAAATATATTTGCGCTTCGGGACGTTTGAGTAGGTATGTAGAGAAAAAAGTAATAAATACTTTGACTGTCTAGAACGTGATCTATTGCGTTACATTATGTATACTAAAAATTTTATTAATTTAATATTGTTATGCTCAAATTAGGAATGTTAATATATTCCTCTTTTCAGACAATATTCTGAATTTATTTCGTACTTTTGTCTTTATCAAAACTAATATTACGTAAAACAGTTTAAAGAGTAAATTTGCGGTGACAATAATGGTATCGGTAATTGACTGTGTGCTTATTTTATTACAACACAATTGCAACTTACATGTACATTGTATTCACTTCGGTACATATCTACCGTCTCTGATTTGGTTGATGTTTGAAATAATAATATGTATTTATACGCGAAGACCAATGGACAAATTTAGATAATAATATTAACTATCTCTAATTTTAAAATAAGAATACAATAACATATTATACTAAGCATTGGATTAAACTATTTATAAGCATAATCGTAAAACGTACGTAATGATCTTTTAGTAATAATTAGTACTAGTACCTAATAATTAAAAATCATCAAAAATATGACTAAACATTAAAAATTACCTGCAAAGGTACCTTCCGTGAGGCTGGTGTAGACACCTAGTCAGCATTCCATCGGAGCCCGCCTCACCCAGTTACGGTCTGCCGGCCGACCAAGTGCTAATTGGTAAAGGAAACCTCAAACAACGAACGAGCTCAATGCTCTCCACAGAAATGTTTCATTTTTAAACATCGCTGTGACCGTTATAACCGATACCCGCATAACTTGCAGTTCTAAAAACCGGCGAACGCCTCTCTAAATCTAGGTTGAAGACTCCGAAAATTACCTCACCTTATAATTTAAGGTGAAGTCATTTTCATTTAGTTTCTGAGCTTACGTTTGATTCTTCGATATAGAATAAATCTAACCCTTTCATTCATCGTGTGCAATTTTGATCTTTGGTTTAATACACCATATTTAAAACAAAAACTATGAATAATACAAAAAGAACATAAATAGACACGTCATCTTCACAACATTCTAAAGCTGTTAACTGATTAATAATCTTTTGTATAACCTGAATGCGTATTTCAAAGAAAATTCATTGCATTATTCAACAAAAAAATCTTCGTAGTTTAATAATAACCACTCCTTATCTTATTTCAAGAATTGAACAGATTTACCAACATGTGTGGATAGTCCAAACTAAACTCGTCCTTTCTTAGAAACTACTGAACCGAAATTCTCCTCGTCTTTTTGTTTGCACCGATAATTCTTTAAACTGCCCCGAATATGGAAAACCATACTTTTTTATTTACATATCGAATATGCAGGAAATAACAGGTAGGCATTTTAAGCTAGAGGTAGTATTTTTATTGCGATGAAATAGACGACAGAGGGATTCGGACGCTTCAGTTGGGCCCATTCTTCTCATACTTCTATAAACAGAACACTAACACGAGGTATGATGATCTGACTATTCAACCACGCACCTCAAAACTGCGGTCTAGCCTGATGTTACTATTCACACTGATCGTAAATAATTACAATTACTCATAGTAATAGGCAACACTAGAAGAATAGTACTGTCCATTGCCAAACAATACTAAGTAGTGGTTGAGAATATTTTCCTAATCTTGTCTTTCCACTATACGCCTTCGTAGCGTGCTGGAATTCTTCGGACATATTGCTGGTAAAGAGGTTCACAATCTAGAACAGTTGATGGTGACAGGCAAGGTAGATGGCAAACGTCCCAGAGGACGCAGTCCCACGAGATGGTCGAACCAAATACGATCTTCTCTGAACATCAACTTCCACAATGACCTTCATGAAGCTAAGGATCGCAGCAGATGGAGGGAAATCGTACGGGAGAAACTGATGCAGCGGGGGAGTGACGACCCTCAGTAATGAGGAAAACGACGCGAGGAGGAGGATTGACATAGAGTGGTGGTAAACAGAAAGATGATACCAATGATCTCCAATAACTATTCCATAGAACCGTCCTAATCCGACGGACGAGTATTGATAAGTCGAAAGGCACTCATCTCTATGTTGTCAATGCATGCGGGCAATTGAATTTATTTAGGATCTGTATTTAGTCGTGTCCTTGTTAAAGTGGTTAATGACACTGACTACTATACGGGGTCCGACTTTATTTGGATTCACTTTAACCAAAATTAATACTATCGTGTTATTCCAGGTTGAAAAAGCTTTTGTGCACATATTTTATCCGTCCAGCCATAGATAATTCAGCAAACAAACTTCCGAAACAATCATACAAGCCTATATAGTACCTAATATTAATATTAGAGGTCCAATTGTAATTGTAAGCGCGTTTCCGATAGCCACAATATAGGCTTCAACGTGGAGATTTTGAATTCGAATATGTGTAGTAGTTATATTCTACTATTTTGAATACAAATTTGAAAATAAATCAAATCTAAATCAGAGCCTCCCGATTAACGGGATGGAACTTGCATGTTTTTATTTGAACCGAATATTTATGGCATATTTTATTATTGGACAACTATTATTATGGAACACATTCCATAAAAATGAATTGCTGTTCGTTAGTCTCGCTAAAACTTGAGAACGGCTGGACCGATTTGGCTAATTTTGGTCTTGAATTATTTGTGGAAGTCCAGAGAAGGTCTAAAAGGTAGATAAATACGAAAATGCTCGGAATTAAATAAAAATAAAAATTTTGTTTTTCCTTTGATGCGTCCCCCGTTGGACGAATTCCTTTTGTTTGTTTTAAGTTTATTTTATTCAAAAGTTTAGGTCTTTTATCTATCGATTGAGGTACAACGAAGTCTGCCGGGTCAGCTAGTTATGGAATATAATACAACTATTTTTTACTGGTGGTAGGAGCTCATGTGAGTCCGCGCGGGTAGGTACCACCGCCCTGCCTATTTCTGCCGTGAAGCAGTAATGCGTTTCGGTTTGAAGGGTGGGACAGCCGTTGTAACTATACTGAGATCTTAGAACGTATATCTCAAGGTGGGCGGCGCATTTACGTTGTAGATGTCTATGAGCTCCAGTAACCACTTAACACCAGGTGGGCTGTGAGCTCGTCAACCAATCTAAGCAAAAAATAAATAAAAAAAATTCGAAAATTTTTTTAGATTCGTATTACTTTTTCTAACATGTTATAGAGAAGTTCCACAATACACCATGACTACACATGAGCGGCACGCGTAAGCACGCGCTTGCACGACAACTCCGTTGCTGTGTTTATTCGGAGCCCCGTGCTAACTCCGCCGTTTAAACACTACGTGCTAGCAGGGCATGAATTAACTTTTCATATAAATAAAATTCACGCTACTCTAACCTCCTGAAATTAGCACCTCGGCGTAAACAGTATTTAGTCGCAACTCATTTTCATATTTGTCCGCCGCGAATCCTTAACGTTTACAGATTCATAGCAATATCAAGGTCGTTAATGAATTATGGGATCATTGCAAGTTAAGTTTGGCATTTATTTACGATTTAATTCATATTTCATATATTTGGACACTTTATTCATAAAATAAATGGACATACAAAATATGTTATAATACATTTTAATATTTTGTGTGATGCATTTTGCTTATGCAGTTGCTTAATGTCCACTATTGTGTTGCCTTTGCAAGTTGTACTTTCAATTGTCTAGTGCTATCTACTAAGCACAAATATATGGAAGATTAAGTTAGAAATGATATGAGAAAACTGGTGGTAGGACCTCTTGTGAGTCCGCGCGGGTGGGTACCACCACCCTGCCTATTTCTGCCGTGAAGCAGTAATGAGTTTCGATTTGAAGGGTGGGGCAGCCGTTGTAACTATACTTGAGACCTTAGAACTTATATCTCAAGGTGGGTGGCGCATTTACGTTGTGGATGTCTATGGGCTCCAGTAACCACTTGACACCAGGTGGGCTGTGAGCACGTCCACCCGTCTAAGCAATAAAAAAATAAAAAATAAAACTTAGCGACGGACTGATAGTATCCTAGAAGTAGTAATAAGGCTCGATGGCGAAACCTTATCTCCTAAATTCTGAATAGTTAAACAGACTAATCGAGTAACATCGTTTAAAATACCTATACTTATACTTTATACAAATAATACCTGTACTTTATTTGTTAAAAAACACTAAACTTAAATCGCAAGCAGATTTTTGTAGATTAGCCAAGTTAATAGCTTTCCTTTTAGGTATTACATATATGTGTATCGTAACACCTACATTTAGTTTGAGTTACACGTACCTACATACACTTAAACTGTCTGTTTACCAAATTCAAAAACATGTTGCACCAAATATTTTAGTGCCATTTGAAGCGTTAACGAAACGCTAAAGATAGCAGTTTGGAATTGACTTGATAGAAAATCAACATTTACTTACCTCCATTTTGAATTCTTGACT